CCTCGACCTCACCCCACCCCAACCCACCCCTCCCCTCTCCTCTGGCCGCGGCCCTCGAGGAAGTAACTGAAAAATAAGCACTTCTATTTACCGACCAAATTCAAACTAGGATTTCGGCTGTCCTAGAAGTTTGTTCTTACAAGTACAGTGTATTTTGTTCTTTACTATTTTACAATATAGCCTATGTTGTCACGTTGTCAATGGATTTCAAGTCAAGACACAGTACATTTTAATGTACATTTTTTTAAAATTGTAAAATGTTGGACACATTTGAAGATTTTCCTGTATCTTACCCGGTACAATAATTTCTCATAGTGATAACGTCGAATGCAGAATACGTGTCTCTAGTCTCGAATTACACACGTCACTGAAATCAATACTCGTTCTCTCCTACATGAAGTAAATGGTGTCGTTAAGGCTTAAAGAAATGAACTGAAAAAAAAAAATCTTTTCTTTTGTTGTGTCATTACGGTGACGGCTCGTTAGGAGTTTACGTTTGTTGCTGTGTGTCTGTGTGTGCGCGCGTGCGTGCGTGCGCGCGCGCGCGTGCGCGTCTTGTCGAGAGGTTCCCCAGCAGCTGTCGCCCCCGCTCCCAGGCGCCCTGTCGCCGCACCTGGCTCTGCTGTCCACTGTCCACCGCGCTGTCACCTGGCCCTATGGCTGTCCACTGTCCACCGCCACCACCTGTCCTCTCTGCTGCCCCGCGGAGTGACCAAAGTTTGGTCGATTCGGTTTTGAAATCCGAACGCCGAGAGTGATGTATGGTGGTCTATGTGTCGGTGAAAAAGCTTGTTACTGCCCAGAAAAACGTACCTCTTGTTTCACATTGAAAAGTAGTGCTTCCATCAGTTTCCGTTGTTCCAAACGAAAAATAATGACTGTGTCTTGGTCCTTGAACATCTAGGAACTGTCAATACCGTGCACCATTCGGAACAGCAGAAGCACTTTTTGACGTGAAATCAATGGTAGATTGCATGGGTGCGTACGCAGAGCATACTGCGGCGCTTTTTGAAGCGTAAGAGCGTACTTGTCCGTCGCGGCCCTGTTCCGCCTCGTACGTGTATGCGTGCGTGCGTGTACTCACGCATGCAAGCTGTTCCGGCTGAGTACCGCGCGCCTCACCACGGAGGAAAGGGAAAAGAGACGAAGCGTGTCCTCTCTCCTTGTTTTTTTTTCGGTTTTCCTTTCTTTTTTTTTGCTCGATCTCTTATTCAGCCCTGGAGAGCGGTTATGGTTGGTTGGCCGAGGTAGGAAAGGGGGGGGGGGCACGCCGGAGAAGCTGCACCCTCCCCCACCAGCCCCTCCCTCGAAAAAAAAATAAAGCAGTGCGAGAGAATTTTTCATGAAATAACGGGTGATGAGGGAGGTGTGGGTGCGTGGTGGGGCGGGGCGGGGTGGGGGCGACGTGGTAGGTCGGTGGTGGCGGGGTACTTGAGGCGTAATGTAGCAAGTTAACCGGAGGTGCTCTGTCAATTAAAATGTGTACATGGTTCACATTAAATAAAGTGTACATGGCATGTATGCTTTAATTAATGTGTACATGCCCATGTACACATTAAAAGATGTGCACATGGCATGTATACTAACGGTTCTACGCGCGCGCGTGTGAGTGTGAGACAGAAAGAGAGACAGTGACAGAGCCTGTTTTTTACTTATTTGCCGGGGGTTATTTTTGTTTCCCTGCATCGCGATGTATTTTACTTTTTTCATATTATTGGTAGATCTACACAAATAGATGCGCGTCGTTTTAGGTATAGTCCGTGAACAGTGTTCCGACATTGTAGAGAGGAGGCGGCACGGCCGCACTATGCGTCGACGGGAGGAAAAAATGAGGTGTAGAGCAATACGGTACGGTATGGTGTGTGTGTGTGTGTGAGGAGAGAGAGAGAGAGAGAGAGAGAGAGAGAGAGAGAGAGAGAGAGAGTGTGTCTGGTCCGGGTGGGTTTCTCCTAAAAGAACGTGTCATTTCTTAAACACTACTTTATTGTTTTCAAAAGTAAAAAGGTGAAATACTGAAATTTTGGCCAACTTCAAACACCACATTCCCATATCGTCCTTTCAATTGAATTTTTATTCTTGAATCCGAGCCCTCCATAGAAATGTGTCCACTTGATCTGTGTGTATTTCACACTTTAGGGATAATATGGACCATAGCGTTCACGCAATACTCTGACTTTTTATTTTTCGGCCCTGCGCTCAGTTCTAGACGGTAGTAGCCATATACCAGGCGTGGAAGCTTTGGAAATTCCATTGGCATCGTGGTATTTTGGAATTGTATCACTTGCTGGAAGAAATAAAACTAACGTGTAACGCCAATTTAAACCAAACGGTTGTGGGTCAATACAGGCCAAATTTCTCAAAGTCTCGAGAGGATATAAATGAAAACAACACTTTTGCCAGTCATCACGGATAGGGTAGGAAATTTTCCGAAAATATGCTAAAAATAACGGAAAACTTTCCAAAATCTGGAAATTTTCCTTTTTTTCCCCAGAAATTTTCCGTCTTTTCCAGAAATTTTTCTAAAATTTTCCGGAAACTTTTTAGGGCTTCCAACCCTACTCGTAGTCTGACGTATTATTTTTAACACACTGTAAAAAAAACCGTTGTCACTTAACAACAGTTAAGTTTTTAACTGACTCGTGTTGTTGTACAACAGCTTCGGTTGTCAAGTAACAGCAAAAGTTGTCCAGTAACAGTAATAAAAAAAAGTCAGCAAAAACAAAATGGAGCCGAATAGTCCAATATCAACAATGCATTGACAACAAACGTAGTTGTTTTTCAACAACTTCTGTTGTTCTCGAACAACTTAGCAGTTGGTCAACAACTGAGCTGTTTTTTAACAACTAATTTTTACAGTGCAGTGTGCCTACCTGCTTGATTAGGCAGGGTGTGCCGGCCTTGGTGAAGAACGGTTTCAAGCACGCTGGAGCGATATCTCTGCCGTTGCTGCAGCCTTTCGTCGGGAAGTAGAACACGAAAGCATTTTCTTTCCACTGGTTGTTGCTGCGAATTGCCAAAGGAGCCTTGACCTGTGCGCGGGAAATTTTTTAAAAGTTAACAATCCGCTGATTTCACGCTGTCTTATATTATTGCATCAAAAAACTACTGCACCAAGTTCACAATTTTAATTATGTGTACACTTTTGTACATATATGAAACTATAGTTTCCGTATCTGACGTGAAATGATTTATGCAAGAATTCTTTTTATTTAAATTAATTGTGCGTAAGTACGCAAGAGTTTTGTACGTAAGTTTTTCATACTGAAGGGCCTACGAAACTTTATATAAAGAAGTAGAGATGAATTTCGTGTTTGCATTTTGCATTACACCTAGCCATGCTGTTAGTTCTGTGCTAGATATCTGCGTACACACATACCTGGGTAGAATAAAATAAATCACTGTGTGTTTCAACATTTTCACGTACTTTACTTACCCACCAACTGTCATCCATTTCTCGCGATAAATTGGCGAAGCCGCTCCACGTCTGTGGTACAAACTTTTTGTTGGGGTTGTAGTGCGAAAACTTCACTTGTATCCTCTCGTCATCCGCATTCGCATTGCACATGTCGGCTCTCTCAAGCCAGGCGTCCCAAGGACCCTACAAACAGTCAATAGGCATGACGATAAGATAATAAGAGTAATATGCATAAAAAGTTCTAGGGTTGGAAACCCTGGAAAGTTTCCGGAAAATTTCCGGAAAAATTAAAAAAAATTCCCAGAAATTGTCTGCTATTTTCCGGAAATTGTCGTAAATTTTTCGGAAGTTTTCAACCATAAAAAGTTTTTAATGTTAAATGTAAACAGAGTTACATTCTCTGTAAAAAGTGGACATGTGCATGTCAAACATGCACGCTTTTGCAACTCACTGCAAAGTTGTGTATCTGTTTGGCTCCCACTGCGTGTAGGGCTGCCACAGCCACCGTGGCCACGAGCGCAGTGCCCATGACGCCGCGTAGGAGCCGCCGGGTAGGGCTCGTGACTGTAAACAAAAGTGCACTGAAAACAAAACTGTGCAACATGAACATGTTAATGTGTTCAGCTCCGCGTTGCACACTCTTAGGTGTTGGACATTTGAATACAAAAGACTGTTCAACAGTAACCACTTTAATGTGGCCAAATTAGCTCGATATGGCCAACCCTGCTGAAGTTGAACACTGGTAAAACAAGTGTGCAAAATTTGCACACCAACGTGAGCAAGTTGTGATTTTGCACATTACATGGTGTTTAACTCAAGTTGCACACTTGCGTGGTAGGCAAATTTGAGACGTTTTGTAAACGTTTAAATTTTGCACACTTGGATACACACAGTTCTGGGCTATCAATAGGAACACCATATGGTGTGCAGCTGCTACACTTTTCGGAAGTGTCGAAAGTTTATACACCAATTGACGTATAACCCAGTTACACACCAATATGTGTCTAAAAAATGCACACTTGAACTTAAACATCAATTGACGTGCAAAATTGAACACTTTTTTACCAGTGAACACTTAATTTTACTGGTAAACACTTTTTAGCTCAAATCTCAGGTTAAACACTTTTAAGTGTGCAACGTGGTGGAATACAGCACTTTGCTTGCGCCATTTTCGCGCTCCATTTGTGAGTGGTGGTCTTACCACTGCCCAATTATGGGCGGATGGTCAACCTGGTCCATGGCCGTCCCTATTGTGTGGACAACATCGTGCCTCTGGTGAGCGTGTGGCCAGACTCTGGCCAGTTGCTCTCGCTCTGAAACCACAAGAAAAGCCTTCTATTGTTGCAAAGTATCTAGAATCTAAAACATGTCCCTCCACAAAGCCACGACCTTGTCACGAGTCCATTTGAAATGACGTCACTCACAGCTCGTTCCGACGTTTTGCAATTGCAATGAACTCATACATGCAAACAGCACCGCAAATACTCAGAAAATTCGCGGTAATTCTTTCAAATTTCGAAGGGATTGCTATTTGTTGTTTGTTCGTGACTACTAAGAGCATCCTAGTAACTTTATAGATAATCGGTGTTGTTACCAACAAAATTTCTAAGTGTTACCAACAGTTTTCAGCTAAGGTTTTAAAGGAGCAGAGTGACGACGAAAAGTAAATATCATGAATCACTCTACTCGACTCTACTTGCTGCCACCTCCTGAACGTTTATTGTGCAAATATAAACAAACTGTAAACAATGTTTATAGCAATTGTTTCAAAGACTATATTTGAGTGAATCACACAAAGATATTAGTTTACAAATTAAATGGAACTAAATAATGATATTTTTGTGGTGACAGGTGTTGATTCGGTATTCCGTAAAACTTAATACATAACCTTTAAGTGAGAATTTGTGGTGACAGGTGTTGATTCGGTATTACGTAAAACTTGATACATAACCTTTAAGTGAGAATGTTGGCAACACTTTACTTTAAAAAAGCGGGGTTCCAGGGGGCGGTAGCCTCCCAGCATCTGTACATTAAATCAAACGATAAAATTGAACATTTAGAATTAAACATAAAGAAGCACTTTGAGAAATAAAAACATAATAATTTAAAAAACAAGCGGGGGTAAAAGGAATTTTTGAAAAATAAGTGGAGACCATGGGTACTTACAAATTCTCCTTAAATTTTTCTTAAAAAAAAAAATACACTTAGCCTTAAGTCTGCGACTTTGACTAGTTTATTAGCAAAATGTCACTATAACCAGCTGAGCGTGATATTGGCAAAAAAATCGTGGAACCAGCACTCGCTCCCATTTTGCGTGAGCGTGTGTTCGGACACTTTAAGGGGTGTTATTTGCAGGGTCTGCCTCCGGCCCGCAATGCAAGCGAAGCGGCAGTCCATCCAGGCCCAGGCCGCGCGCCCGCGCGCTCTCTCTCTGCACGCCAAAGTCGCTGTCGTCCCTGTCTGGGTATTAGGGGCGACAGAAAGAGAGAGCGAGGAAGCGAGAGAGAGAGATAGAGAAAGAGGGAGAAGGAGAGCGAGCGAACGAGCAAGCAAGCAAGCGTGGGTGGAGCATTACCGAAGGTATTTACCTGGCGCGAAATTGTTGCCGTTGTCGCTGTATTTAAGCCTGCTTAATGTACTGCTCCACGCCTCTAACCCTTTTTCCTGCTCGCTTACTATGCCCTACTTCTCTCTCTCCACCCCCTCGCTCTTCCTCTCTTGCTCTCTGTCTCTCTCTTACCCCCCTCTCTCTCCCACTCGCTCGCACTTCAAGCTCTTGCTCTGCTTGTCCGTCTCCTCGCAGTCGCGTCGATTCCGCGCCAGCGTCTCTGGTGAATCTTGCATGCCTCAGAGTGGATGGTCTTTCCTGTATCGCTCCCCACCCTCCGGTCTTTTTGTTTTGTACTGGCCTGCTTCCCCAGCCCCCCCCCCTCCCCCGCGCGACTTGCAAGCACTGTCAAAAATAGTTGTAAGGTTTACAGGAAAAATTTTCTTGACGAATGTTGTGTGAAATTTACAATTTGTAGTCGTAATCAATTCTTGATTCAGTGCAACCCAGCACTAGCTGGAACGCAGGGGATGGGTCGACCGAGGCCTGACTGCGTGACCCTAGTTATGCGTGGCTCCAGTTCGCTATGAACAAGCAGTCGTGATAACCCTTTCTGAAGTTGAACTTTGGAGAAGTATATACACTGATAAACTAAGTGTTCAACTACACAACACTTATAAGTGTGCAACTGTAAGTTAAAGACTTGCAAGTGTGCAACTGCAAGTTAAATACTTCCAAGTGTGCAACTCGGTAGGTGTGCACTTGCAAGTGTGCAACTCCTCGGTTGAACACTTCCTACGCAGTAAGCGTCCAATCTAAGGAAGTGTGCAACCGAGGAGTTGCACACTTGCAAGTACACATCTACCGAGTTTAACACTTGCAAGTGTACGACTACGGAGTTGCACACTTGCAAGTATTCAACATGCAGTTGCACACTTACACCTGTTGAGCAGTTGAACACTTAGTTTATCAGTGTAACCTGACCTTTCTAGTCCAGAGTTGTTTCAGTGAACCAAGAGCGTTGACCTATATCAGGAACGTACTTTTTCTCGGTGTTGAGGCGTACCATAAGCCCTATAAGCCGGCCGTGCACTGTTTTTTGCACACATGCAGGCAGAACCATGCATGACAAGTTGTTTATCTTTCTGCGCAACAACTTTAATGATATAATTTTCTCAGAGTTCCCAGCACAACTTTGTTGTGATGAGCATAATCTTATTCTTAAAACTATACTTACTCCAGCTCATATATGGTAAGCTTTTTTGCGAACTGTATAAACTTTATACTTTTTAGTAGTTCGTACGGTTTTGACAGCTTCCTTAGTATTATCGCGTCGTACACCGGCGGGCGGGGGTATGGGGGCCGTGGGCGCGTTGTGGGGGGCGGACGCAGTGTGCGGCACCTGTTCCGGACCTACCCGCGCGGAACGTTGTCGCACCCCACCACACCGACCAGACCCACCGCGCCCGCCCCACCCCACCCCGCCCCACCCCTGGTGCGTAACTCTGCCGTGTCGTCGTCGTCCTAGCAGTAAGTTATGTGCCCCTCCCCCTCTCTCCTCCCCCTGAACACGCGCGAGGCTAGCGTGCCGGGGCAGCCCCGCCTCGCCCCGCCACGCCCCGCCACGCCCCGCCTCGCCCCGCCTCGCTCGGTAGGTCAGGGTGTGCTGCGCTGCTCATCCCCGTTGCGCAAGCAGCCCCCCATCGAGGGTTGGGGGTTGGGTTTTAGCGTTAGGGGACTCCGCCACCGCTTACTCCGCAAATTAGGCGATGCACGACGGAGGTCCCAAAAACTGGGAAACTAAAGGCTTACGGTTAAAAAATGGTATATCACAACTTTTGGCTTGCCCACTGACCACTGTGCACGTGCACTGGTGGGGTCTGATCTGGAGCAGCCACACACACTCTTTTCTTCATATTACGACGAATGGTTCGTAATTTCGAACAGCCTCACAAAAAACTAGCAATGTCTGCCACTTGTTGTCAGACGTTTGTC